CAGTACGAAATTTTAGCTAAAGGGTTTGTTTTTCTTTCTGCCTCTTCTAACTGGATGGCATTTTAATTGAGGTCTTCTTGTTGCACAAAGGCAAGTGGCCTTGCCTCCTTTATATATTTCAGATCCATCCCTGGAACCATGAATGATTAAATATTCACCTTCTATTGTGGCTCCTGAGAGCAGCACCCTAATTTGACTACTTTTCTATAGTTGACAACCAGAACTCTTTTCATTTTGTCATAACAGGCAGTCTGAGAATGAAGGAGCTCAGAATCTCTATAGGACAACCAGGATTCCTGACAGCATCAGCTACTCAGTGATTCTATTAGGGACCCAGCTGGAGGGAACTGGCTACTCCAGGTGTCTATAACTAGACTGCTTATCATCATTTTGGTTTTTCTGTCCTCATCACAGACAACTTCTCTTCCCCCTCTGCCCTATTTTGCTTACTTTCATTTCCTCCAGAAAGAGTCAATCTTGAGTGAACTTCCAGGTAAACTTCCTACATACAAATCTGCAAATCAGTGTCTGCTTTCTGGGGAATCGAACCCACGAGTACATCTAGGAATCATTTCTGCCCCCTCTCTTTTCTTACCTGGCCTTGTAACATGAATCATTCAATGAATCAAAACTTCAGTGTTGATGGTGATTTTGGAACATTTCTTGAATCTACATATGGCTTCCTGCTCCACTTTTATTATTTATCTCTTTTCAGTAATAGTCCAGATGTCTGTGCCAGCCTTCTAACTACTTCTGGACTCCTTGTTTGTTTTTCTCAGACAAATTCTTCCCATTGCAAACAGACAGATCTTCCTTAAGAGTAGATGTGGTCTCATCACTGCAAACAGCTTACTGTTTCCTTAAAGATCTTAATGTGACTTTGATGGTTAGGACCTCCATACTCTAGGACCCTTGTAATGTTTCCCCATGTGCTTGCCGTGTGTTCTGTGCTCCAACTAAAATGAACTACTTCCCACAATTGACCACAACTTGGGACCTTGAGGGTTTGCACCCTACTGTTTCCTCTGCTTATAGTTTCACTTTTCCATCTCCACCCAGCACACATAGGCAGATACATAAACACATTGACACAGGTACACAGAGGGACATGCAAACACTGCTCTTCCTTAGAAGATTTCTCTGACTCTATTTCCCTTCTCTGGGGCCTCCACAACCCCACAGTGGTGTTCCATAGTTGGAACAAGTCTTACAAGTTTTCCAGAAGATTGTGAAGGCAAGATTCCTAGGAAATTTATTTACTAGGAAATATTTTCAAGAATAACCAGTAGAGGAGCGAGGGAGCATAGGACAGAAGGAGTGTCAGCAAAGCCATGTTGCATTGAGTCGGGTTTCTCAGAGGGGTGATGACTTTGTTTCAGTCTCATAGGAGAGCTCTGGAGAAAGTCATACTTATACCCCACTACTCTCCTACACAGGGAACAAGGGGACTGGGATATGTGTACATATTTAGACATTATGCTTATGGAATATTATGTACCTGTATGTTACTCATTAAGGGGAAGAGAAAAAGAAAAGGTTTTCAGACATTTCAGACTTTCTTTGGTGCAGGCAAAGCAGATCATGGCTGCATGACAAGGAGACTGTACTGACCTCTGTTGGGATGAAAGTGTCTTGAGGGTAGGCTCCCAAGGACCTGGTGAAGAGCGCCAGGGACTGTGGATGGAGACTGGCTCTTTCCACACCAGGCCTCATAACTGCCTGTGGACCCTATCCTGAAAGGCAGTGAGCTCCCAGCCAGCTGGGTATGCACGTTCACTGTGGGAAGTCAAGCACAAAGCAGGTGCTCAGAGATGTGTGCTTCAGTGAATGAATGGATGAATGACTGAATAGCTGAATAGCATCCAACCTCTAATAGGAACCTTTGAAATAGGGACCTTTCACAGTCAGTACCAGCAGACAGGTGCAGGTTTTCCATGTTTGAACATAGGTTGTCCTTCTTGTGAGAGACTGCATGCATACTTGAAAAAGATGATTCTTTTTTTTTTTTTTTGCAAGAAGTCAGCAGTATAGCTCATGCTTATACCAAGTGAATGTTTCACAGAAGTCTTGCCTTCTCAGTTCAATAGGTCTGATGGTTTCAGGCAGCAGGAACAGCAGAATTCATGATTTAAAAAAAATCAATGGGTCACTCTGGATGTCTTAAGTCCGGGGACAGCCAGAACTCATGGTCTGTTAGTCCTGAAAGAGACTGCTGGAAAGCAATTTATTGCCTTGATCATTGTAGTTAACACTGCAAATATTATGGTTTAGCTCTAGAACATTCACCAGAAACGTTTTGTGTTCAGAAGTGGGGCTTTGGAAGGTGATTGGATCATGGGGTTTACAGTTAAATGCAATGTTAGGAAGTAGAGCCCTGTGAGAAGAAGCAGGTCACTGGCAGCATGACCAGGAGGAGTATGTCTCCTCCCAGATTCTTCCCTTCTTTCTCTGTTATCCTGTTGCCATGATATGAGCAGATTGCCTCCACTAGGTGCTTCTAGCATGCTGTTTCTACCTTGCAGCCTACCAACCACAGACTAAAACTTCTGAAACTGAGCCAAAACAAAGCTCTCCTCCTGTAAGTTGTGACTGTTGAGGATTTTGTCCCAATGATGGGAAAGTGATCAAGATAGAGGTTGAAAGGAGGCAATTTCCTTGTTCAAGTCCTCAGAGACTTGCTGACAGTCTCAAAATGACAAATGGCAGAGCCAGGTGGGCTGACTCTTGCTTTTACCTCTTTCCTTTAGCCTACCCCATCACTCACAGTAGCTCATCTGCCACCTTTCCTTGTGCTTTGAGTTCTTGCTCTTCTCAAAATAGTTTTCTTAAAATTAATTTTATTGAGATGTAATAGGCATAAAGTATAACATGTCCATTTTAAATGTCAAAAGGTTTTGTCAAATTTACATATCTACACATGGTACGCATAACCACTGCAATCAACGTATATAACACTTGTATTGCTGGCCCAATTTCTTTTGTGTCCATTTGCAGCCAACCATACCCCAATCTCCAGCCCCAGGAACCAGGCTATGCTTTCTAATGATACAGATTAATTTTCTTGTACTCAAATGTTATATAAATGGAGTCCATTGATAAGTACTTTTTCTTTTGTCTGATTTCCTTCATTTATTATTATTATTATTATTATTATTATTATTATTATTATTAGTTAAGTTTTGAGATTCTGTCTTGCTATGTAATTCAGGCTGGCCTTGAACTCCAGGGAATCCTCCTGCCTCAGCCTCCCTAATGCTACAATAACAAGCATGTGCCACCATGCCCAGTTCAGCATTATTCTTTTGAGACTCATATGTGGTGTTACATGCCTCACTAGATTGTTCCCTTTTATTGCAGAATAGTCTTTCGTTGTAAGACTGTATTAAAATTTGTGTATTCATTCTTATGTTCATAGAAATTTGGATTCTTGATAGTCATTGGTTATTACGAAAAAAGCTTCTGGATTTTTTCATGGATTTTTGAGCCATTTTATGGATGTATATATTCATTTCTTTTGAGTAAGTAGAATGGCTGAATAATACAATAGGTATATATTTAGCTTTCTATGCAACTGCAAACCTGGTTTCCAAGTGGCTGTTTCATTTCATAATATCATCATGTCACAGTATTATCAGCAATGTATGAAAGTTCTACCTGTTCTGTATATTTGCCAACATTTGATATTGTCAGACCTCTAGAACTAACATAGCTACTACTCAGAACTTTAATTTTCATCTCAACTAATGATATGGAGAATTGTTTTGCATACTTGTGATGACTGGGCATGTTTCTTTGGGTAAGTGTCTGTTAAAATATTTCTCACTTTTAAAATAAAGTTGCTTTTATCATGACTGATTTGTAAGAATTCTATATTCTGGATTTTTTGCTTTTGTTTGTTTTTTGAGACAGGGTCTCACCATGTAGCTCAAGCTGCTTTTGAACTCACTATATAGCCCAGGCTGGCCTCGAACTCATGAAGATCCCCTTTACTCAGCTTCTCAAGTGCTGGGATTGCAGGATGTGACACCACACCCAGCTGAGAGTTCTATATTCCAAATATAAGTTCTTTGTCAAATCTATACAAAGTGAACATTTTGTCTTGCTTTATGGCTTGGGTTTTACATTTTCTTAAAGATGTCCTCTGAAGAGTCAAAGTTTTATTTTTGTATGTAGACCATGATATCTATTTTTTCTTTCATGGGCCCATTACTTATTTTGTTGTTGCAATCTAAGAATCTTTGCCTATCTTAATGTCATAAAGATGTCCTAATTTTTCGATAAATTCTATTATGTTAGCATTTATATTTAAACCTGTGCTCCACTCTTGGAAGCCCTTGAACCTCTTCCCTAACTAAACTCAGAGAGAAATTTTATGCTGATGTCTTGGTAGGCTGTGTCCAGACTGTGGGTTGTGGGAGCAACAACTTGGCAATAGGGTTTATTTACCAGTAGGCTGTCTATGCTCCTGGGGTGAACCCCTAGTGGACCAAATTTCAAGGCCTTGAAATGTAGAGCCATAGTGACATTTAACGGCATGTTCTCAGAAGCTGTGAGGATCACTGGCTGTATGAACCTAAGTCAGTCTGTTGACTTTTCTGAGGCTGTTCTTGCATCTACAAAATGGGAATAATAAGACTTCCCTTGCAGAATTATTGTCAGGAAGAAAAATGAGAAAATGGATATAAGACAACATTTCACAGAATCCCAGCCAGAGGAGGCACTTGCAGAGCAGGAGTCTCTTACTGCCAACATTGATGTTGCTATGTGGTTTTACCAATATTTGAATGCCATGCTGATGGCCTGTTCTGTGTCATTGCAAAACTGTATGGATGGCATGAGTTGCTGGCTTTCTGCAAGCTCGTCTGAGTCTTTTTAAAAATAGGGCTCCTGCTATATTTGGCTGATCACTGCTCTGGTATGAAGGGACTTTCAGGGCTATGCTGATGAAGCAGCTGGACATGGCATGAGGGTGGCTACCAGTCACCCATGAGTCAGGACATGTTTGGCATGCCACTTGCAAGTGTTTTTAAAATGAATTCACATGGAAACTTTCTGATTATTCTCGGGAGCAGTGATAATTGGGCATGATGGGAAGATCTTACTCTACTATGACAACTTATGTGGTCATACCATCTCCTCTGAAGCCTTTTGCAGAGTCAGAGACTGTGACTGTGTGGGAAATTCAATGCAGGAAATGGGAAGAAATGGTAAGGGGTCAGCAGTACACATGGCCGTATTCTAAGGCTTATAGATTTGTGCTTTGGGGTCATTTTCCTCTTAAACTTTACCTGTGCAACTGAAAACACTTTCTTTACAGGACTGCTTCTGGAAAATGCTGTTTTAATACAAGGAATTCTGATTGGGTGTCTGGTTGAACTGTTCTGTGCATGCAATGCCAATGCACTAATCCACCCATCAGGTTAGAATACCTTCTGTGTCTTTGTTTTTCACCCACAAAATGGGAATAGTAACAGCTTTGAGGTATATATAGGTTATAACAAATGTGTTTTGAAGACTACCAGGTACATAGTAATAAATACTGTAAGTGCTACTTATTATTGTTATTTTCCTGCCAGTTGAAATTGCCCTTTGTCCCCTCTGTGGGTATGTGTACACATACATTGGGTAGTGAGCAAGTGTTTGTGAGAAAGCCTTATCTAACTTTAACATTTTTCCTTTGATCAACTAAGTGCCTATTTTGGAAGTCCTTAAGTACTACGAGATTTGTAATTAACAACAGTCAGGATTCCTTCTAACCTTTATTTAATGTACTGAAATTCTCCTTGCTTCAATGACATTTTGTGGCTCCCACCACAGGAAATTCCCCTCAGGAAATTTCTTGAGACTTGCAGGAAGTTTTGAATTGAGCAAATAAGAGGAACATTAATTCCTAGTACTTTCACAAAGGCAAAAGTCACCTTTCTAGCATTCTTAGCACTGTGTGCCCCCACTCTGTGCCTCTGCTGTGTGTGCCCTACCTCTTCAGTCTCTTCCCTGAATCTAGGGTCCCAAACCCAGTCTCCTTTTTCTCCTCCTCTAAAATGGTGTGCTAGCCACCAGACTGTCAGTGCAGTTGGAGAAGGGACTACTTTGTATAGATTATTGTTCCTTCTGTTCCAGTACAGTGCCCAGCTGCTCTGAAACATTTGCTGCTTGATTCTCATCTCAAGAAAGATGCAAACAAGGAGGCATAAACAGGAGAAGTAGAGAGGCTTCTTCAAGAACACAGGCAAGTTAGCATCAAAGAGAATATCCCAAAATAGCTTGGGGGAAGGGGCACTGCTTTTAGCAGCACTAATTCTAACAATTGTATTGAAAAGACGTGTGCCCAAATATTGAATGTAAGGTGAGGCTTCCAGCTTATTTGAAATTACAAGCTAATGAAGGCCTGTGACATGCAATATAACTTGTTTTTTACCTATATCTCAACTTGTATGGGAATGTGAGGAAAAGTATTATGTTCCTCCTCATATCACCTATCAAACACGATTTTTTGGATAGCTCATTCTTGCTCCTGGATGAAATCTCAGGCAGGTCCCACAGGTTTTCAATCCCGTTTAGTCTCAAGTGCAATCTAATTTCAGTAAATAAAATGTCCCATCGAGTCTAACCTGAAAACTTCAATCTTACATTCAATTTCAGTCACTTTCCCATCCCCCGCTCCAGCCTGCCCCTAACTGTGATGTGTGTAGCAGGAGACAGAGGCACAGTTGACATCTTCGGTCCTCTCTGTTCCCTTCTTTCCTTGCCTCCTCCAGGGTCTAAGTGTCATTTGTAGTCCACCAATGGTTGGTGCATAGGAACAGGAAGAGGGTAAGACAGAAAATGTCTCACTAAACTAGTGCGGTTATTACTGGATAGGAACCTGCCAATCCAGAGAAGGTTCAAAGCTAACTCTTGTTTTGGTACTTCTCCTGGCCCCTCCAAGATTTGCATTGCTGGGAATCTCTGACTAGCACTCCTCTGAAAAGGGTGATAAGGTTGGTTTCTCCTTCAGCCTCTGGCTTTGGTGAAGATCATCCCATGAAGGAGCCAACTGACCTAAGTGGTCTTCCTGTGTAGATCCCAGATCTACTTGCTTCCAGGATCCACATCTGTCTCCGGGATCTGCTGCCAGGGCAGCTGCTCAGCTAGACTTCTACAGTACCTTGATACTTCCCTGGGAGGGATCTGATGGCTGTCATTATGTCCCTCCAGCTCAGAGTAGTATGTGTCAGGCCTTCAGTGGTCTTTAAAAGCCCTTACATCAGATTTAAGGGAAGAAATGGCCTCCTCTCCTTTGGTCATGATGGTAAGGGCTCCAGTACTTCCATCACTCTCTACCTTCAACTTTGAATTACTTGGCTTGGATTTGGGTAACGAGTATAGGTACCTTATGATTTACATGTATCTAGTTTTTCACTTTGTATAAAACTTTGTAATTGAAGTACAACATTCACATAGCAAAATGGGTAAATTCTAATTGTTCAGCGTGATGCATTTCCACAAAGTGAATAGGCGCCTGTGCAACCAAGACTTAGATCCAAAAGCCAAACATTCCCAGTATCCTTGGTGCCTCCTCATAGCCCTGCTGGATCCTTTGCCCTTCCCTCAAGTGCACTAGCTATCCTGACTTCAAACATCAGTGATTTGTTTTGAAAACCAAGACAAGTCTGATAGTGAATGAGAGCATATAGTATTTGTCCCACAAAATGGCCACCATCAATTCCTTCTTTTCCTGTAAACACATGGCTCCATATTTAGAGGTGGTTGACTATTTTTATATTTCCTTAAATCCAGGCTGATATTTGACTACTTTCATCTGCATAATATTGAATATATGATCCTTCCCTAGTTGTGGTTCAGCCTTGATGCTGTACCTCCATGTGCAAGGTATAGATTACACTGCAGGGTAAGGAGGCCATGTGGGAGGAATATTTGGTTGCTGGATGTGTGAGTGGTGAAGTCAGTCTTGAATGTTTAGCTCAGATGATTCCTACCCCAAATGCCATCTGACTACAAATGCTGACATTCTCACCCTTGGATTTTTTCAGCAGAAAACCTCTTTGGTCCTCAGCTTCTAGGACCCTTATAAATGCATGTGATGCCATCACCTAGAACAGAATTATTCACTAATGTTTCCTCTTTTGTCCCAGGTGTTTTCTTCCTTCTCAAATAAGCCTTGATTTTCATTTGATCTGTGGACCATTTTATTGTTTCTCCTGTATAACAAAATGGCACGTCTTGCTGGCTAATGGCAAAGAACTGTACTGAGGATGCCTTGGTCACTGTGTGCACATAGAACATAAGTTTCTACCTGCTCAGAAACAAAGTCAAACAAATGACAGACTGTGGTATGAAGCTCTATGATGTTAGGCTTTGTATAGAGGATCATGGGTAGGAAGAAGGTTAGGTCTAGTGTCTTGGGAGAAAAACAAATGAAGAGTGCCTGCTGGCTCTGCCTTGGATCCTTCCTATCTTCTCTTCACTGTCTTAATGTAAATAGCTGGTAGAATGTCAGGAAACTGCCCATCCAGTACTCAGAGCACTCAAAGGCAGAGAAGACCTAAGAAAGGCTTAACCAAAGCTGGACAGGAACCAATAGAAGAATCATTTCTGCTCATCCCTTGGAGATGAGCCATCTCTCCTTTTTGCAAACTAGGAGGATATCATTTGCTTATAAAACCTGACATGCGGTGATAACATTTCTGGAGTTGACAGTCAATATTCATCTTGGAATTGAGCCTTCATCTTGTATAACTAGTTTCTTTTTCAAAATAGAATAATAAATGTAGGCTAATTGTGGGAGAAATAAGTAAATCAGAGATAGCATATCAGCAGTTATTGAGATTTATCCTTCCATACTGACAGATATGAGATGTTATATCAATCCCTATTCATTTTTACTATTGACATTCTGAACTCATGATTGTAACACTTGAAACTTTTACTTGAACTGTAAAACTTATCATTTATTTTATTTGTATGTTTTTAGTATGTGGATGCATTAGGCCATATCTTAAGAAGGCATCAATTCATACTCAAAGTTCATTTGGCATTTTATCACACTTCTAGAAGGAGAACACTTTGCCTGTAATGCATTAATGACTGGAAATATTGTCATTGTTCTTGATTCCTGTTGTGTCATGTACATTGGTACACTACAACACACATTCTAGTTTGGATGTTGAATGTATCCCAAAGGCCCAAATTCTGAAGGCTGGGCCCTAAAAAGGCACTATCGAAAGACAGTAGAATATTTAGTTGGTAGATGCTAACAGAAAGTCATTAGGTCATCAGAAGCATGCTCCTAAAAAGGATAGTGGAACTGTAGCCCTTCTTTTCCTTCTTTTGCTTCCTAAATATGAGATGAGTTGTTTGTATTCTTGAGCCTCATCATCTACCATTTGTATTAGAGGCCTAAAAGGAATAGGTTCACTTGATTATAAACTGGAACCTCTAAAGCTATGAGTCAAAATAAACCTTTTCTCTTCATAAATTATTTTGTCATAGTGATGGAAAGCTGACTGAGACAGTGTGTTTTGTCTATTTTCTTATAATTAGAAGTAATTTTATATTGATTTTAACTGGAAAACATTTCAAAAATGTGGGTGAACATTGAATAAAGCAAATAGAAATGAATGTCTCCAATTATCTATCACTATATAATAAACCACTGTATACATTTTTTAACTTTAAACAATGATTTACTATATTTAGTAATTCTTTAGTTTGGCTGGACTTAGCTGCACAGTTCATTAGCTCTGTATGGTTTCATTAGGGTCACCCATGCAATCAGATCCTGGTAGAGTTGTAGATGGCTGCTTTGGTTCCTTTTTGTTAGCTTGGACTTCCTTATGGCGTGGTGTTCTCAAATTTCCAAGAACACAAAAATAGGAAGTGCTAGATCTCTTAAAGTCTGGGCCGAAGTCTGTGGAATTACACTGTGTCAATTCCACAGAATAGTGAAAACATGCCACAGGCTCCAATAACAGAGAACATATTTCATTTTTACATGAAAGCAATAGCATATGCATGCAGGATGGGAGGGAAGACTTGATGGCCGTCTTTAGTGTCAATTTACCAACAATGAAAAAGCACAGGGTGAAGAAAAGATTAAAGAACAATATAGAAAAAGAGAAAACTACAGCAATAGTATTATATGTCAAATATTTATTGATTCATGTGAATGTTCCCAACATTTAGGGCACTATCTGGGATATTGAAGTTTCTTAATTAATGTCTGTTAAATGAATGAACTTGATAACATTTTTTAGGAAACATTGGCTATTTATTAATCCAAAGGATTCCTCTTCCTCATGGGCACATAAACAGACCGTTGTTTATACAGCCTATAATCGTAGCTGATAGGAATGAAGTGGGAGTACTATATCAATGTCTGATCCACAGAAACCTCTCAAGTATTATTCTTTTCTTTCT